TTGATCCAAGAGAGGGGTACCACCAAAAACCCAACCTGAGCAACCAACAGGCACACACAGATAGCATGCACCATCTACCTGACAGCGACCACAGGCCGGCCCCAGCCCAAAGGGCAGAGCAGCAGGGAGCTGCAGCTGAGGAGGGCCGGCCCCCACATCAAGAGCCCCGCACCATAGGCCCCAGCACGCCACCTATGCACCCCCCCCCACACACACAGCACCCCCACCGCAAATGCCACACAGGAAGACCAGCCAGTGCCCCGATGAGGCGAAGCCACGCCCCCAACCGCCGCCCTACACCACCAATGACCACACGTACACTACCATAGCCGACCCCCCGCCGAAAGCCGGCAGCCACCCCGGTCAAAGTGCCGGCCATCGCAACCAGGAACCTAGATTAAAAGAATCGGAACAGCCCAGGAGGAACCGAAGCACCGGCCCCACCACTGACCGCCCCCAAGACCCAAAGCCCACCCACAGCCCAGACCCCAACAATGTGCCCCCCTCCCCCTCATCCCAGACCCCTAGTGTCACACAGAGAAAGGAGGTGTTTGTGATTAAAAAAAAAATAATAAAAAAAAATAAAAAATAATAAAAAAAAAATAAATAAATAAAAAAAAAAAAAAAAAAATAAAAAATTAATATGAATCAGTTTTCTTGATCACTTAACTTGATGCCTGATTTAAAGATTCACATTTATGCCCAGCATTGCATTGATGTGCTAATCTTAACTTCCTGTAATTAAGTTTTATAGTCAGGTTGAAGACATTCTGTTTTCAATATTTTTTCATACAAATAAAATAATGAATAAATAGTAAAGTGCTAGACGTCTTTATGGATTTTAATATTATGTTGTTGTTGTTGTTTTTTTTAGAAACACATGTGCTTACATGGGTTATTAGTATTTTTTATTGGAAACAAGAAATACTTATATTTACTAAAAAATATTATAATAGGTTGGCAAATCAACTTTGTATTTTGAAGGAAAAAAACTAACAAAACTAAAGTGGTAGCAAAATGTTGTGATGGTTAGGACTGTCTCTTCACTAGAAACAGACTTGTGTGATTAAAACCTTGAAGCTTCTCCCTCAGTGTCTGTGTGTTTTCTCATTATTCTCCCTACAAACCAAAAGTGTGCATGTTATGTATATTCTTAATTCATGTAGAACTGAATCAAAGTGGCTTCAAAACAGGAATAAATATATGGAAATGCTAAAAAGGCTTTGCCTTGAAAACTGAAACAAAATGTAAACTAAACGCTTAGCATTTTTTGAAAGAATACATATAAGTTGCTGTCATTTATGCCAGAGCGTTACATCGTTTTATGAGAAGGGACAGATTCGTAGCTGTTTCGGATAAACCTTGTAAACTATGTTATGCACAGACAGTTTGAAATATTTCAAAATGTGATAATAGATGGTGCTCAAAGCGTGTGCGTATGACTGTCAGATGGACTCTGTTATTGTTCTGCTGCCTAAAGTCAATTACCTCTGACATCTAACTTGAATTTGGTTTCATCCACATGACGAGTTTTAGACTTTCTGCTAAAATTATGTTCTGAGAGTTTCACAAAAAAAATGTAGTTTATTAGTTTGTTTTGATCAACACAAACAGGTATTGTTGATTAAAATCTAATGCCAAAGTTTTAATCCAAGTATTTGTGCAATGTGTAGAGCTATATGTGCTGGGAATGACTCATTTTCTTCCACCTAAACGTTTTTAAGTCAACAAATGAATGATTCTCTGAGTTTTAGCCATTTTTGTGTTTGCTTAGCTTGTGGCCAACATTTTTAATGGACAATTTGAATTTTAGCTTTTTTAAATGTATTTATTTAATTAATTTATTTGTTTATTTTATTTTTTTTATCCTTCCACTGCTTCATGATATACTTTGATTGTTCAGTTTGCCTTTGTATCCTGGTGGTGTGGGAAAAAAAAAAGTTGTATTTTGAAAGAAACCACCTTCAAACATTAAATGTTTTGACAAAAATAAACATCGGAAGGGCGACAAAGCCACGGACTTCTTAAATAACCAACGGTCTTTAAAACATAAACTAATATTTAACAACTATGTCAAACATTTTGAGACTTTAAAATCTGTTGAAGGTTTATTTGTACGCTACTGATAGCACAGCAGGAGCAGGCTGACTGTAAACAGGCTTCATTTTTACTTGTGTTCGATTGGAGCATCATGCAGCACTGTGACGATAAATCTTCCATTATTCACGCGAATAAACAGTCCATTTATTTCAAAAGGGAGCCCCTTTATTGTATTTTTATAGTGTGCTTGTATTTGCCTTTACAAAACCTTCACAAATTATACTTATTTTGATCATAATATTTTTTTCTTGGAAAACTTGTATTTTTTTGCTTGTCATTTTTGACAGCTCAGTCAGTGCTGCCTTAGCTAGTACCTTGGTAACATAAACCAGTGTGTTTATTGTGTAAAACGTTTCAGTTCAGGATAAATGGATATTTTGTGTAGCAAAGTATCTGCTTGATAGTTTCTCTCTTTTAAAGTGGAGTATAGTACAACTATGATGTAATTATATTTACAAAAAAAAAAAAAGACAACAGGAGCAACTTTTTTTTTTTTAAACAAATTATATTTAAGTGCATCAAGTTTTCGTCATTTGCTATCAAAACATGACTTCACCAGTAGGAGCCATTCAGGAACATTCACAAATGTCAACAGGCTCTCTGGTTACTGTGCATTTACATTTTTGTACTTCTGCTTACTTTCTATCAATCACCTTAAAAGATTGTTTGCACCAAAATGAAAGTGCTGCCATTTCACATTCAATTTTCTGTCCATGACAACCTTTCAATGGGTTCTGTGAACTGAAAACACATAAAGTTCTCCCCCATGCTGTTTCATTTAAGTCCTCTCTAAAGCTTTTAATTTTAATCCAACCGAAGACCTATTTCAGTGGAACTTAGGTTTTAGTAGTGATTTTGTTAAATGTTACCCAAACATGTTTTTTGGGGGTAATAAAAATAAAAGAAGCAACGCTGACAAATAGAAGAAGCTGTAAATTACCAAGCTTTGGCTTATTACTGCTCGATATGTTATTTACAGAGTAGGAGGTGGAGGATCCTATCCTGTTTCTCATGAGAAAATAATCCATCAAACAATGTTTATTTATTTATTTTTGTTGTTACTAATCAACCTATTAGGATCCACAGAAATGTACCATATTTTCCGACGTATAAGTCACATCAGTCAAAAAAAGCATCATGAAAAGGAAAAAAAAACATGTATAAATCGCTTCAGTGTATAATGCACATGTGTTATGTGTTACCGTTGACACCGTCGCATTTATTATACATTTATTTAGTGGTCAAAAGAGCTTCATTTCTCCTGGGCGGTGAGGCACCATCATGCATCCATTGCAGCCGGAGCCGCTAGCTCTCCAGCGTTCCTCCACCTGCGTCAGCTGAGTGAAGCGAGCGCGCACAGGAGGAATGCTGTTGCAGTTCTTAGTAATTTAAAGCATCAATCAAAAATTGCATTATGAATATGGGAAAACATAAGTCGCTTTGGAGTATAAGTCACACAGGACTGACAAATCTATGCAAAAAAACTTTGACTTATATGCCGGAAAATACGATACTTCATACTTTTTGGGAAAAAAAATCAAACTACTTCATTCACCTCTATATTTCAGTGGGCTCTGAAGTGAAATGAAAACGCTGCTTTAATAACTGATTGTTTCAGTGTTATCAACTAATATCAAATTATTTCATCTCCTAAAAATAAAAGCCACTGGCATTCAGAAAGTAATAATAGTTGAAGCTTTGATTGCCCTTTATGAATGTGGCATGTCAGGAAATGATTCCTCCTTCATGATTATAATAAAGTCTTTATATGGATAAAACAGGAGATACCATTGACAATCCATACAAAGTTGCATATTTCAGGCTGATTAATGATAATAATTGTAATTCAACAGTGGCATATTCTTTTTTGTACTGTTACAGCATTTTTTTTTTTCTGGAAGTTATTCATGTATTCTACTGAATATTCATGAAGACACAAAGAGACGTTTTTGTGTTACAGATCAGCATTCCTCATTAAAATAATGAAAGTACTGGAGAAATGACGATGTTGGCACTATTTGATGGCTGCTACTTTGTCATTTAGTCTGTCACTGGAGGATTTTACAATACAATATTATTAGGTTCCATTTTGCCTTCGTTTGGCTTCAACCTTTGATTGACAGTTTAAACAGAAATTGTACAAATCTAGAGTTTTGGATTATTTAAACTTTTTTGATAACACTTTCAATTTTTCCACCTTGCCAGAACTGTTCGGTGATTATTAAGGATGACATTCCTTTCAGATGTTCTTATTTTCTTTATTGTACTGGTCTAAACATTGACATTTACAAAAAAGGAAACATTTGTATTCGCTAATTCTGTTTTTTAGTGATTCGTTGATTTTTTAAAATTTTTCTTAAAATTGTATAAAACTTGTTACAAACAGACAGTTTACTTTCTATTTTCTTTTCAAAGTGACAATGTAGAAAAAAAAAAAAAACACACCCAATTTATAAAAAGAAATCAAAAATTATGAGCATGGACTTTGTTGTTTTCAACGAGTTTGACAAGACTGTCAACAAGGAAGAGGGCCGGCAATGGAGGAAGGTGCGTACCAAAATAGACCATCTTATCACAAGCAGAACTGGTTTGTTCCACTTTGGAGTAAGCTGTTGGAGGAAGAATCAGTTGTACTGTGTGTTTCGTTGACTGATGAAGCTTTCCTGTCTGAAGGCGAAACGTTTCAGCCCAAAAAAATAAAAAAATAAAAATAAACTGTCCAGATGGCCTGACTGAAAAATGTTGGTCTGTATACCTGGATGATTGAGCATGGACTTTGTTGAAATCAAAAAGTAATTTCACAAATTAGTGAAGTAATTTTTCTTTCCACTAAGATTGCCATTCACATTTTTTTATTTTTTTTTGCAATCTCCTTCCTTAACCCCCCTGCCCCCCTGCAGAGCTTCTGTCAGCCTGCCATGAGCTCCGGTGCCGCTACGGCTGCATCATGACAAGAAACGGCACCTTCTGTTTTTGCGCCGACGGCTTTGAGGTCGGCGAGGACGGAACAAGCTGCAGAGGTAAGATTCTAAGAGCCAGGAGGGGGCTTCCCACCCCATTTTTTCTTCCCAACGCCAATCTCTCCTTTTGCCCTCAGCCAGACTTTTCCAGATGAATAGGCAGCGGTTGTTGGGTATATGAGAACCATCTGTCTGCAGGGAGGGCCTTATGCATGCTGCGCTTCACCACCAGCACACATACTCATGCAAGCTCACATTGTTTATACAGCACACATCTTGTTTTTGTAGCTCTCTCGTTTAATGCTCTTCACACATGCCACAGGCCAGATTTCCAGCAGACAAAAAGGACTTTGCACATACCCCGTATCAACAATATGGATTATAATTGCACAATTATGATGCTGGAGGAGGTCTAACATAGTAGCAGGAGTTCTTGAATTTAATTTAGGAGGTGAAGACATTGGTCATTAAAGTTCATAAAGCTGATCCTAAAAGTAGTTGTTTCCAAAGTGCCAAAGTGAGGCCAGATTAGATATACTTTATGTATTTGGGTCACGTTTGAGCACACCTAATTTGTTACAAATGATTCTCTTCCTTCTTCCATAAGATCATGATGAATGTGCCATGTATGGTGCATGCAGCCAAACCTGCACGAACACCTACGGGTCATACAGATGCAGCTGCACAGAGGGATACATCCTGCAGCCTGACAGCATATCTTGCAAAGCCAAACAAGGTGAGCAGCACACTTGCATCGGGAAACAATATAATCTGCATAGTACGTGCATTTTACATCTAATAATAAACAGGCCAGTTTTGTGTAACATGAGTGGAATTTCAGCTGATCAACACAGGAAAGGTAGGGCAAGATGAATGTGGTCTTGCAATGACCACATCTATCATCCACATGGGAATGGGTAGATGTGGTCAGGCAGGGATAATGATAAAATTAATGAGTAGAAGATTTTAAGTGGGCTCCGTTTGGAGTATTTTGTTCCAAGACAATACCTAGCATCACCCTGATTTATGTTAATGGCTGTTGGCGGATCAGTAGCGAACGTGTTCCCCTGAGTAAAGCAATCTACTAATTGCAGAAATTAAACGCTCAAAAAATAAATTGTGTTTAGGTGGTCAACAGTCTGCAAGTAAACAAGCCCAATGATCTGTGCAGTTTGTTTCTGTGTCGCACATGGTGAAACTTTTTTTAGGTCTTGTCTCACCTGTGTTCTTTGTTTTAATCAGGTCTCTCTCTCATAAATTAGTCCTTGTGGCTCAATGAGGCTAACCTGTAAAAATAAAGGTTGAATAAATAGGATGAAAATATCTAGAGGCCACAACTGTTGTGGCTTTTAATCACTGTGACTTTCATCCTATGAGGAATATGCTGAATATGATTACTCATAAACTTAACTGAACCCAATGCTCACATGCATTAATATTAATTTAGCAGAGGGTGATAGTTGTAGGAGCATAACTATGAGGTTACCATTAGCTGTAAAAGCTCATGAATATATATTTGTGATAGAGCTGTGAGAGGCCAAAAGATGAGAAGCAGCAGGGCATGGAAACCATTTTTATGCACTGAGAGTAGGATTGAAGTTAAAACTCTGCAACTCACATTTTTCTTTCAATGATTTAATCTCGGCTTCAGATCTTCCCCGCATGATTCAGAATACAGTAAAAAAAATATATATATATATATATTTTGCTCCGTCTGTGCCTTTAACTTAATCTGATACTTTTTCATCAAGGTTGAAGCTATAAATTATGTAAGTTTCAGTCTAATTTTATGTTGCAAATCTTTATTGGATGGATGATAGATATATTGGCAGAACGTATGTAGCAGATCAAAACCAACACATCTTTCAAAGCATTAAGCCGGCTGCACACCGTGCAGCACGTTTTAAGTAGTTTTGTCAATACTTTTTTTTTACCCTACCTGTACTAAGATGTTTTCTTCTTTTTGAAGACAAGCTTAAAAAATAAGACATTTGATGCACAATCGGTTGTTTATGACAGTGGTCCTCAAACTGGGGTCTCCGGACACCTGGAAGTCCACGATCCGGTCCTTGGGAGTGCGCAAATTAATTAATTACAATTTTTATTTTTTTTATTACAAGCATGTAGATGTTTAACAACCCATTAAAATACACCAACATGCAGGAATTTTTTTCTAATTTATTCAAATTTTCTGGAGGAGGACCACCTGATCCCCGTAACCCCCCTCACCGACCTGCCTGCAATTTGCGTTCCAGCGTTGTTCAGTTTACAAATTAAGCCCTGTTACTTGGTATGCTGTTATGATTCTGTTTTATGTAAATAATTTTCTGTAATACTTTGAAGAAGTGGAAATGCATTTATTATGTTCATTAAGTGAATAGGTACAGTTTTAAAGTGTTTTTTTTTATACTGTTAATTTTCTCAAAACTGTAACTTTTGGAAGTTGAAATTAAAAATTTTGTTAAGTAAGTGTGTCTTGAATTAAAGATACCCAAAGTTTAAAAGTTTAAAACATGTATTAACACTATTAAAGAACAAGTCTTGAGTTTTTATGCTACACAAATATTCCCATTGCATTAAAGAGACAAATTGAAGAAAAGTATTTAATAAATATGAGGGGGTCCCTGAAACTTTTTCTCCCCTGTAAGGGATCCCTGAACCCAAACATTTGAGAACCCTGGCTGCAATAAAGTATAAAATAATAAAAAATAACACTGTACTTCTTCATTCAATAGAACTAACAACATAGGCTTTTATTTTATTTTTTTATTTTTTTTTGTCAAACAGAAAGTTTATATCAAGTGTTGTCTAATCGGACTCATTGGAGAAAATAATATAAATATACTTTATTTTTAATCTTTTTATCAGCAATACAAAAGCATACACTGGTAGTGTTATACAGCATTCGAGCACTCCTCTGTCAAAATGTCTTCGCAAAACCCAGTTTTAAAAAAAAAGTATGTGTCAGACTCAAACACAAGCAGTTATGTGACCCGACATCCTGATTTATTGCCTGTATTAGAAGAGCAGCCCTTGACTTGAACTTGTGCAGAAGATTGGGATAAATAGAGGCCCTTTTAAGAGGGCGAACCTGATGTCAGAGAATGTGCACGGTCAATTAAACCCATAAAGCAGCTTATTTCAGTTTTACCACCATGGTCTATTGCAGAAAGATGGGTTGGGGAAAAAAAAAAAAAAAAAAAAAAAGTCCATTTACTTCCTTGAGTTGAAGCTTCTGTTTCACAGTTCGTTTAGTTAGGTTTAATTAATTTATTTTATTTTTTAATTTTTTATAATAAACATGTTCATGATATCAGAAATGCTGTTTTTAAGTGTTGGATGTAAAATGCATTGCTATTATAACTGTGCAGTGTTTTCTCACAGTATAAGCGTTGCAAAAGTTAACATTTTGTATTTTGTGGCAGCCAAAATCCAGTTTTAATTGCTCTACTAAATGTTGAGATTTCCCGCAATTAACTGATTGATTGACTGATTGACCACTTTAAGTCACTTTAGTCACCACTTTTCAATAATTGAAATAATAAAATTTAGTACAAAAAAGCTCACATTAGTAATTCTTAGCACAACAAACGCCTGCTGGTTTAAAATAATGGACATCAAGCAGTCTATTCATAAAAAATGCACGAGTTTTAGAGCTGGATGAGTCAGTAAGCAGTTTTCTTCTCAAAAAACACAATAAATAAATAAATAAATAAATAAATAAATAAATAAATAAATGGATGAGCTAACCAGCTGAGTCTCAAGTGTTTGTCAAGCCTGATAATAAATTACTGTAATTATACGCTGTGTGATGAATTGATCATTCAAAACCAAAAGTGCACAAGCTCTTTGTTTTATAGGACAGCAGGATATGTATAATTTGGGTAAAATACATAAATAAAAATAAAATATTAAAACTTTTTGAAACAGTTTGTAAGTTTTGATAATCAATAGGGTTTTTTGGATGAAATAACCTCAGAACAGAATAAAATGTATTTTCAAGATGAATGCATTTATTTAGTTAAGGTAAATGTAATGTTTATTGAAGGACACCCCTTTACACTGTTACACAAACAAAAAATCTTCCTATCGGCAAATATTTTCTTGACATCATCACTTCTATGAAATTCTCTGTGACGGTCTAATGCTCTCTTTCATTTAAACACAGAGTGTAAAACTCTATCAGAGCTCACTGCATGTTAAAAAATCATCCGTGCGTAAGTATGTGATGATTGAGGAGTGAGAACACCTTGTTTCTTGATGCTGTGATCCCAAGTGAAAATTGTGCTACTTAAATCAAAATACCGTGCGCCTCCTTTTATTTTTTTATTTTATTTCAGATCCTGGCGACGGCCATCCGATGCTTCTTATTGGAGGCTCAGATCGTATTGTCATCACCCATCTAAATGGAACGAGCCTTCAGCCCCTCAGGTCTCTAAGTGTAAATGGAACACTAGCGCTGGATTTTCAGCACAGCCAGGAAAGTGTATGCTGGACCGTGTCTACCGAGTCCTCTGGGCAACTCCGCTGTGCTGTAATGAGGAATCTGCGTGGAATCACCAGGGAACGGGAAATAAGAACACAACAAAGTTTACAATGTACGTTTTCATTCTGTCCTGTTTTGTTGTTGCTCTTCTGATGACTTTCACTCACTGTTCTCAAAAGGTGAGCACTCCCGTTGAAGGGGAGAAGACAAAATTGCATTTTCTCATCTGAAGTACACATAAGACAATGCACTCGCTCACACACATCAGCGCCACATGATTTCACTATCTCTCCTCTTCACACTGCAGGTTGCCTCTAGCTTCTCATTATCCGTGTGGTTTAAGACAGGTTAGCCTCAGAGCTGTGGGTATTCACCTTTATCCTATAGTTGTCGCTCTTGTCAGCAGGAAACACCAGTATTGCTTCTTAAAATATAAAAACAAGTTTTAATTTTCAAGTACAGACCTAATCATATCAATTTACATTATATTTGCATAACTTCAGCTAAATATTTGCAGCATTTTTGTCCTTTTTTTTTTTTTTTTACTTTTGGTACACAGCGTGGCATTTTATACTATACAAGGATACAAGTACACAGTAAAATCCTTTCAGTCAGTAACTCTCTTTCAGCTGCTCCCGTCTTCAGGGGTTGTCACACTGAGCACTCGCATGAAATATTTGGCAACTGTTTTACACCGGATGCCCTTCCTGATGAAACCTGGGCTCAAACCCTCAACCTCAGAATTACAAGACCGTGGCACTGACCACCAAACTACCACAGCCCCTTTCAGCTTATGTTGCTGGTTTTCAGGAACACACATTTTTGCTGCTTCTCAAAAAAATACATGTTCGGATATCCTCCTTCTGCTTTAATTTTATCACACATTTCAATAATTTTCTTATAAATAAAATGTAATTTGGATGTGTGCCATTTTCTTTTAGCTACCTTGCATAATGTAACGTGTGTATGTTTATTTTTTGCAGATGTGGAGCAGATGGCCATTGACTGGCTGACAGGAAATGTCTATTTTGTTGACCGTGTCACGGGCAGGATATTTGTCTGTGACCGTGATGGGGAAACATGTGTTACTGTTGTACAACTAGACCTCCTGAATCCTAAAGGGATAGCCCTGGATCCTCTCATGGGGTGAGTGTACAGCAGATAACCCAACGGCTGTCAACTCGCCACATCATATGGATTTATTCTTTTGCAGATTTAAAATAAATACCTCTATTTACAACAACTGACTTTGGAAAAATATATGTATATTTATTTATTATATACATGTATGTTCTTTGACTTTGCCCTTGTTATCTTCTGTGCAACTTGACAGGAAGCCGATGATGCTTCTGACAGCTTCTACTGTCCAGACATTCATCTGTACTCACTGATTTTACCACACATGCCACATAATACAATGCTCTTGCAGGCCTTTCGCATTACAGGAATGTTGTCTTTGAAGATAGAGGGGAAAACACAGTTTTCTTTCACGGGGAAAGCTCAAACATTTTACAGCATGTGGCTGACAGCTTCCAGGATCGTAATTTATTTTGTAGGATTTTTAGCATTTTTACTATGACATGGTACAGAAAAGTAGCAAATTATTTAAATAAACTGCGTGCACCAGCTGTATCAAACTGTGAACCAATTATTAGCAACTCAGTTCGTTCTGCGCTCATACTTTTGGTTAGCGAGAAATGAACAGAGCTGTTGTATTGCAGGGATATGAGGATAGACGGTAAACTTCACGTGAAAGCAAAAAAAATAACAACCCTTTTCTGTGAGAGAATTTGGAAATGGTTTCACAGTCGGTAACAATGACAAACCTGTTCTCGAACGACAAAGTGAGTGTAATTTGAGCTGATGCTTGTGGCAAAAATAGCAATCATATTCAAACTTCACTGATAATGAAGCAAACAAACCCCTATTGTGAGGATTGAAAGGGCAATCTGCATATGTATCTAGCTTAGCTTACCTCAGCTTTATAACTCAAACCTAACACACTCTATGTTCTTTAAATTGAGAAAGTGCCTCGGATGAGAAGCACAATGTCTTATGTTACGATTAAAGTCCTTTTTTATTATTATTAATTTTTTTTGTCTTCAACTTTTTTAGAATTCACTGATAAAGGATACACCTTGCTGCTTCTGGTCTCAAGCAGCTTTGCTTCTCAGTCATGACCAATCCCCTTTAGACCAATACAAAACATTATGAAGCTTGCATTTTAACACACAGCATAATTAATCTGAAAGTTGACATATAAGTGCACTACTGCTTTGTTGGTTTCTGTTTTAAAAACAGTTTGTGATTCAACAACCTGGACTACCATTAAACCAGTGGGTCTAATCAAAATAATTTGCTGTTGGCTTTGTAAGGGCATGGCCAGTTTTGTTCTGGTTGGCTGCATCGCTCGGCTCTCATTAAATGCTGGTCAGCTGCTGGGATATGCTCTACCTTCTGATACGTTTACAGCTGGTTAGCGTTTCTGTTTTTGATGGCTCCCTGTGACTCCTTCTTTTGATGTACTGCTGTAGGTCAACATGGCTTATGAGTGATTCTGTTGTACTTTAACACCTGATCGCACTTTAGGTTACTGGCTAGATTGGCTGTATAAGACAGAAGTTTGCTGAGCACTCCTCTTGACTCTAATTGGTGAGAAATAGGTACAGCGGTTTCTGAAGCAGTGGGCCTAAGAGCGATCTGTCAGCCTGAATCAATGGAGTGAAAACAAAAGAAATGGGGGAGGTGTTCAATAGCAGCACAGCAGGAGGAACAGAGTTTATAGAATATGCCCGGATTTGACACTCAACTTTTATTCTTGTTTGACTCTCTTGATGCCTCCTTGCCTCTCTTATTAGCGGACACAGCCATTTTACTTTGCTTTTTAGGACATAGTTTTATGGTCTCTTGGTAAGCACTTTTGTTGGCCTTGTTGCTGTTTTTAACTATTTTATAAATAAGGTGGTATTGTACGGTACGGTATGGTAGGGTATGGTAGGGTATGATAATAATATTTGAGACTATTGGTAATTGGTCTCAAAAAAGTTTTTGATGGGATGTTTTGTTTATTCGCAAATCTTCATCTGTATTATGACATGGACTACACTTATGGTAAATGGACTAGCACTCTACTAGATCTCTACAACATAATTGAACAAAGCATTCTAAAGAGACTAATCAGAACTTTATCACATTCATACACTGATGGGACACACATCGGAGGCAATAAGGGGTTCAGTGTCTTGCCCAGAGACACTTGGGCATATGACGGCTGGTGGATTTAAACCCCCGACTCTTGCATTGGAGGACGACTGCTCTAACCACTAAGCTACAGCCACCCATTCCACTTTTCTTTTTTAACCTTATGAAGTCATAATTGCACATCCAAAGAAGATTAAATAATTATTTTTGTTTTATTATTATTTAAGTTGACTGCAAAAAGTTTTGAAACTATTAGTATTATTTGCTTCCCCTATCTCTACATTAATCTTGACTGTTTAGTTATTGCCCATTGCAGATGGTAAATGTGTACATTTACATTGTTGCTCATATCAATGTGTGCACATGAGTTTGTGTGTCTTTGTTAGCAAAACATTTTGTTTATCACTGGAGAAATATATATATATATATATATATATATATATATATATATATATATATATATATATATATATATTATAAGAAGCAATCAATGGATGTGCCTCTACAGGTGTTACTCATTGCAACAGATCTTTACTTAGGATGTACTTTGTTATCCTAACTTTCAGAAAGCAATCATTTAAACCACATCTACAATAAACTTACTTTTGGAATCAATACAAATACAGATGGTCAGTGCAGCTAATTGGCACAAGCAAAAAAAGGGATAACTAGGTCAATTTTACAAAACCCGAGAGTCACTCCTTACAAGTATTGAAGTACAATTTCAGTTATTGTCAAGTTTTTTTATCAAAACCAATACAACTCTCTCTTCTCAACAGGAAATGTTTAGTTTAAAATCAACTTTAAATTTCAAGATAGCCTCATAAATTGTGTTTGTGGGTTAAAATTGAATACAACTGTGTTAAAATGTTTTTTAAAGGCCCTCCCCTTTTTTTACTGACACTCCTGGGTGGATTTATGGTTCATAATATTCACTCAAAAACAATTAGATTTTAGACGGACTTACCGTACAATAATCATTCCAGCTGAAGTCAAACATTCATAATGTTAACATTGACTTAGCTTTTTCTCATGGTTTAAGAACAGCATCTAATTTAGTGTTGGTATGTTGTTGTTTTTTTCCCCTCTGGGTTTTGTAGGCGTTTTGGGGAAGAGCTGTTAATGGCTAAAACTATAGCATAAAAGGCAGATGGTAATATTCATCTCTGCAAAGTATTATAGATTTTAATTCAAAATGTTGATTTCATCTGTTCTTTTTGTTGTTGTTGTTGTTGTTTAACAAGTTTAAATGCAATTCTGACATAATTACAACAATGGCATATGGCATACTACAATTCAATGTGAGATTATTTGTCTTGACAAACAAACATACACATCAATAAAGCCATTATTTTTCTGCAGAGCTATGTTCATTTCCCCTTCAAAAATAAACAAAAAAAAAAGTCACATGCTAAATTTAATACAGTGAATATTTGCACACCAACTATGAAAAAAAAATCAAATCTGAGTTAAGTCAGAAAAGTAAATATCTTCCTGCTGCTTTTATAGTAAGATAAACTAATTAAGAAGACACACATACACACAAACACACATACATTCACAAAACAGCCTTATACACTATAAACAGTACCTTACATTGACTGACAGTTGTAATCAGGCAGTCTTTCTCTTTCACTGTAAGACATCTGCCACTTTTTCACTCTTCCTGTGCAGCTTATTTTACCATGGGGCTCATTTGCAGAACCCAGCATGGATCATTTTTGTGACAGTGGAATGTAAAAATACAGCATCAGCACCATCTTAACCCCAGAAAGCAATCATTGATATGCCACATAGAGGCGCACCTGTTCGAAGCGCTGGGCTCCTTGCTGATGTAGACATTTTTTGAGACCAACTAGGTCCATGGTTCAAAGGGCAACCCATCTCTCCCATGACTTTACTTGTGCAGATTAAGTGAGCTTCCTGTCATCCTTTTGCTGTAGCTTGTTATCCAAAGAAACTATTGGAACTCTGTTCACACAGAGAGCCAGCAAGAAAGCATGGCAAGCCTTCCTTAATGATTACTGAAAGTGCAGACCTGAGCAATTTTTAATACTTTAGTGACAGCACATAAAATATATTATTTAGACAAAGGGAACAGAAGACAAAAAAGTTATGAGAACTCACTGTCTTTGTAATAATATGTTATACTTTGTGGTGCCTTTTTTTTTAGACCAGACACATATAATAGAAAGAAAGTGGACATATTTAGATTAAGGTACATTGTACTAACCGGTGTACATTGGTTTCTAAGCATAGTATACCCACTACAAAAATGTAGACTACACCACTGGTTAAAAGCCTACTTTTAAGATTCCAACAGGATGTTGGCTTGAAACACAGCAATGAAGGCTACTTATGGGACATATCTGGTTGGCAAGCCATAGACTGAGGAAGTCCTCTGGATGGGAGACAGAATATTTATAACTTAAAGAAACTGGTCCAGGTGACATGATTTAACCTTTTTCTTGTAGTGGCAATTGTTTTCTATATGATACAAATTGCTTCTTATTTGGTCAAGGTCAAGGTTATTTAGTGTCATTTGCATCGCATGTGGTACATGTGGTGGAACAAAATTGTGTACACAGGGTCCCAATGGTGTTTGTTTAGTGAACACAATTGGGACTCCTTCTCATATTCTTGATGTATCAATTGCCACAACCCTGATGTGCATCACGCATTGTCAGCAATTTTTCACTCAACTCCAAGCTCATATGCAAAATATAACAAGATTTATACAAATAAAATGTAATATTCTGATTTTCTTAAACACATATTTACTTGGTTATCAGGCACTACTAAAATGCTTTTTCTGAACTATATTCCTATAGTATTTTGCTCAGAATATTTTATTATTTGGCCTGAATGGGTCAAATTTCAACATAGACATAATTATACTTAGATTTGAGCTTAAACAATTTGCAGTTATGAAATTAACTAAATGTTTTGCACATGTTTTGATATGTAATTAAAGCTAGAGGGATGTCACGAGCAGCTTTGCAACAACAATATTTAAACCCTGTTTATGTGACATATTTGATTTTGAAGGTTTTCCAATATTAGTACAAAAGAAAGTGACATGACTTAAACTAACATATATGCATGACTCTATTGTGTCAAATGTCTTATAATAACCACATCCTTGATTGCACCATTCTAGACTCAAAAATGCAAAAATGAGCAAGAAAAGTTGAATACTGTGTTGTTGTATGCAGTTGTTATGATTTATCTAATGAATATTGAAAGCATGTGGTTTATATAATAAAACTAAATTAACTAAAATATGACATTGACAAGTAAATAGACAACATCTGTGTGGCATTTAATCCTCTAAACACCCCTGTCCTCTCCAGAATGATGTTCTTCACTGACTATGGGAATGTGGCCAAGGTTGAACGCTGCAACATGGATGGCACCAACCGGAGCCGATTGGTGGATTATAAAATCGAGCAGCCCACTGCTGTGGCATTGGATGTAATCAAGAAGCTAGTATATTGGGCGGATGCCTACCTGGATTACATCGATGTGGTGGATTACCATGGCAAGAACAGGCACACCATAATCCATGGGACTCAAGTGAGTGTCACATTTCACTATGAGCTCAGCGTGTTTGTCTTCCACGAAATAAACATTTTAAAAAGATATATATATATATATATATATATATATATATATATATATATA